TCCATTGATGGTTAGTATCTATAAGTGAGCGTTGCCACACAGTATAAGCATGACAAGATTTTTTTATTATTCTATTATTTCCACACTCCTGATGTGCAATAATACCCATACAGCCATGAAAGCAGCCAGTATTTAAGTCAAATTGCAAACATTGTGATATCACTGGGATATTACTGCATATACAAAGAATATGTGTAGCAGCTGAAGAGATGTGGCCTCTGCTCTTCACTTGTTTCTGACTAATGCTCTGCATTCTCAAGTTAATTTGATTCTCTTCCCTTCGTTCAGTAAAGCTGCCCATTTATTTATAGCTGCCAGTGCAACCATCACACAAAAGCTCTTTCCCTGGACACTTCTGGACAAATCTTACTTACACAATGTAAAATAGGCCTTTCCTGTACCTCCCACCACCTGCCAGCAAGCAGTTGGCACACCTGCACTACCAATAAGCAATACATGAGCCCAAATCACTCCTAGGACCTTTAAAAACTTCTCCACCTCCTCATAAGCAGAAAAACAAAAGATCCAAGGGACTTGGCTCTCAAAATCAATAGTTTTAGTGGCTGTTATGAACTGAGGAGATTTTGGGATGATGAGAAGTGCAGAGCTAAAGGACATTTTCTTTCTTTGAGTCTCAAAATGGCAACATGGGCTCCTTTGCATGGCCAGAAGTACTTTTGTGTTCTACTTCTCCTTCTGAGGAGCCACCACCACCCGTAAGTATTTGTACATAAGCCAGCTCTTAGCTGAATTGGGCAGCATATTTGTGCAATATTTGACAGCTCTGAACACGTATCACAAAGATGATCCTCATAAGAACTATAGCAAAAGCTGCAGTTTAAATGACCAGAAACAACTTTAACTGGTTAAAATGGCTGAAGCAGTATTATACACATCACCATCTAGCTAAGAAAACACAGTGCTTAACATAAAGAATATTTTTCTTTCCTGCCAAAATCAGATTCTCCAGAGGACTAACATGATGGGGAATGACAGGGCATTAGGGACAGCATTTCAAGGTCCTTTTTACAGATTTAGGCAATTTCCCATGCAGAGTAGTTTTTCTTCTGCAGTTTGGAATCTGTTTTCATGTCCACCTTCTCTCAATGCCCAGCTACCCTACTGAGATGTGTTTAACACATCCATAGGTAAACACTTCTCAAAGGTTAGGGCTGAGCTCCATGGCAGCTCTACTCCTGGCAATTTTAAAATATTTTATCAACGATTACAGTACAAGTGGAGGCTTGTGGCCAATTCCAATGCAAAGCCAACAACTGTCACATTATTTCTGAGAAGAGACTGCCCTGCTGAATCTGAGAGTGATGGTATTACTGCCTCAATTATCCATTTCAATTAATGCAAATATAGGCAATAGTCTTGGAACAGCAGAATAAGAACTGATCGCTGAATACACAATCACAAAATATAAGGCTTGGCAAAGGAAGCAGAAAAGAGATTAGATTTAGTTTCATGTATTCTTAAATAAGATAGGAAAAAAAGGTGGAGTATAGTCTTTACAATAATAATTGTATCTTATAAAAATGTTAGAGAAATATTTTCATTAGAATTTTTATTATTTAATGTACATTCTCCTAAAAGAAATGGAGAAATGTTTGATTTTGAGAAGCTACTGGGGTGTTCAGCACCATCTTAATGACACCTCTAGCTTTTCTCAGTAAAAATAACAGAGAGTGCTAGGCTTGAAGAGAATATATTGTCTATTGTAACTGTACTAATGGTATCTGAAGTAAATAAAAATTAAATGAAATGGCCAAGGTCACACAGGAAGCTGAGGCAGGTTTTTTGAGCCATGGGAACCTCCTGCACTTTATCTGTGAGAGCCTGTCACTGATAACAAACTAGATTTTAACTTGAGGTTTTCAGTGTAGAGAAGGGGTCTTTAGCCTAGTCAATGCCTCAGTGGCCATTCATTACAGAGGTGGGAGAGGGAGCAGATAGGCATTCACATTCCAAAAGGCTACATACTGCTATTCCCCATATTTCTGCAATAAAAGGAAAAAATTCTGCATTTCATCCTAGGTATATAAATACTAAATTTTATCTTGCTATAATGAACTCCACCTATAGTTAACAAAGGCTAACCATAGGAAAACTGTAACAAAATATACTTCCTTTTTCTTTATGCTAAAAATTATATTCCCCTATTAAGACAGCAATGTAAGTCCTCAAATTCTGTTAAGTGCTAAAGACTTGAATATTTTGCCATAATTATAAACAAGAGAATTCTAATGTAGAGCCAAAACTTTTAAGACATCCAAGGAAAAATGATTTAAGAGTTGTTTCATAATTTTTTCATTACAGTATAGTGGAATCTTACCTGGAATCCAGCAGCTACATTTACCTATGTAATGCTCTTAACATGGTTTTCTGCTGGACCAGTAACAATACTCAGCCTGAAGCCACTAGCAATGAAAAAACCCAGAAGATGTTGGAGGAATGGAAGGGAGAATGAAACATGTGGGATAGGAAAGGAGTCATGGGAGGGAAGGCTGATTCAGGTGAAGGACACCACGGAAGATTGGAGAAGTTTAATAGTCTGTGATGGAAAGAGGCTTGCTTACATATCATGGCTAGAGATGGCAAATCTGCACTGCAGGGGACCTGGGATAAAGGCTTGCTGTATAACCACCTATAAAAGCTCTTTGAAAGATCTTTCTTTCTTGTAACAGAAAAGTAACGCTGATATGACAAATCTGTTATTCATGTACCCACCAGCAAAAAGAACATTTTATGTTCAGGTCACAATCTGAAGGTTAGCTATACAACCTCAACACTAAAATAATTTATAAGTAAAAAAAAAAATAAATTCAACGTAACTCAAAAACCAATTCCCGCCCCACTGCTGTGTTTAACGCCTGACGATCGCGAGCGCGTGCTCACACACAGGGAACAGCACCCACTGAATCTGCTCGTCAGTGCATCCTCCCAGGCTTCACTTCCTTTTCTCATAACTAACATTTTTTTTTTCTACCTCTGCTGACCCAGAGTTCATCAGCAGGTCAGTGCTAAGGAAAAAGGTAACAACCAGTATTGAAAGTGTAACCCTGTCTATTGCTTAGATTCTGGGAACTTTAACCTCCCTTTGGAAAGCGTGACTAATAAGATGGAACCAATAATCTCCCGAGAGATGTAAACCATGTGCCAACTTTAAAATACAAAAGTGCTTGCATGCTTTTCTTTTTTTTTTTTTTTGCCTTTTTTTTTTAAGATGACTGTATATATAACATGACATAGTAGTTAACTGAAGGTTGGAGTGCCAAGGCATAATATGGAATGGCATTTTTCTGAACTCTACTTCAGTTTAAAGGAACTGTTGAATATTTTGGATTTTTTTTTTCTAAGTGACTACTGTTTCTGAGATACATATGATGCAGTAGCAGGATTAAGAAAATACATTTCTTAGCAAAACAGAACAAAATAATTACAGAAAATAGTATTTAATTTAATTTAAATTTTCCCCAAATAATTCCCCAAATAATTAGGGAGTTAATTAACTCCCTAATGCTTACTCCACAAACATCTAAATGAACTTTAAGTATGTGGTTTCTTTGAAACAAACCTGAATTTTCTCACCTAAGCAAGTGATGCTTTTCTCTGTTAATAACTGAATATATGGCATAGCTGTTTCTACATTTTCAGTACCATGATTTTATTGATTTGAAATATTTGAAAAAGACTAGCATCCAAGCACAGCTGGTTACCAAGATTAGGACTGTGTAGCAGTAATGTCTGTGATGTTATTTGCTTCTTACATTCCCTAATTTCAGTTTTGCTTAATTTGATATTAGTATTTTAAGCTTGTTGTTATTAGTATTAGTTTGAGCCTTACCCAAATTGCTGGACTGAACTGCACACAGTATTTTCTCTGTCTAGAGCACTGATTAATTGTTTCTCATAGAGCAGTTTTACAAACTGCCAGGTTTGACACAATGATGTTTGCAGTTACCATATCGCCAACAGGCTTCAAACAAGAGCAAAGCTTCTGTCTGGTAGTTGACAAACAGATCACTGAGGATATTAACATTTGAGCAAACAAAAACTGTAGGAAGAAAGAAGTACTGGCTCTATTTTACAGATATTAAACTCAGAAACATAAAAACAGCAGTTTGTTGAAGGCTGCCTGATCTTCAAGAACCTGTGAATGAGTCCTTGTGCAGTTCTGCTAAAGAGCAGAATTCCTCCTGGGAGACTCAGAGGGTCAGTTGTTTCCTGTGACAGCTAGAGCTCACCTTTCCTGCTGTATCTGTAACTGAGCTTTTCAGATATGGCAGCACTCTATCCCAAACTCCAACTGCTGCTTTAAAATTCTTTTGAGGTGGCAGCTGTGCATGTGATTGCTTGTTACCAGTACTCTCCATGGTCAGTTTAGTTTCTGTGGGCTGCAACTGCAGTACAACTGTAAAAACTCACAAGTCTCCAGGGTGAGTTTAAAATCTGCGTTTAAAAATGTGCTCTTTGACTCTGTGATCATTGGACATAAAAGATGTGTCTTTACACTAGCTAGAGGAGCTTAGGGAAAACCTCTGCATCTCACCCTGAGTCAGATTTCAAAACACATTATATTTGTGCTTAGGAGTGACTATAGTGCTTTTGGCTGCTAGAAAAGTAGAAGTACCTGGGGGAGACAGGTTCTTGGGTATCAACATAACAATCTGCAGGGACCACAGCCATTCCAGAATGATTCTCATACAACATTCCACAATACAGAGATAAAAAGTTGTTGCAAAGAAAGCAGAGGCTGTCATATGGCAGTAGATGCCTCCAGTCAGAGCATGACTGTCTTTCACTCTAAGTTTGTTCACCTCCAGTTCTGTAAAGTGGAAACCATTTTGGGCATCCAGGTCCTCCCTAAACAAGGTGTTATAATATTGTGTGGTACCAGCTTTCCACAAGATTGCAAGAAACCTTCAGATTTTTCTATATTGAAAACATGAGAACACTAACAATAAACAGTTATATACTGAAATGCATCACGATACCTGGCATATTCTGATTGCTTGGTCCAGCACCGTCTTTGTATCAGTTGCATAATCTGGGCAAGGCAGCATGGCATGACTGAAGTGGGCTTGCAGCAAGAGGTGTGTTTTTGTGTGTGAACTGTCAAATGAATGGGGATTGACTTCGATTGGAAGGTGTTTGGCCAGCTCGCTGTTCATCTGATCTTCATTGTGTCTCACAGGCAGATCTGTGTACTCGTCAGCATTCTTTAAAAAAAATAAAAATAAAAATTAATCATTGCAATTAACTTCAGAATAACTATTACTGCTTACTGAGGCATTCAAACTATATGCATTTAATTTACTACAGTTAGATTTCAACACAGAAATACTAGCATTTAAATATTTAGAAAGTGTACTTATTTATCAAAATCACACATGGGAAAACAATAACTAATATAATATTTTCAAATATTGACACACTTATATATTTTAAATATTTTTCCTTCCACATAGCTGATACTAACATTAAAGAAGAGGAAAATAAATGCAATGAAATAAATATATTCATTGGATGGATTCAGTAGTAGAAGATGACCCATAGGTATCCTGCCTCATTGGGTCACAAAACCATTTTAACGTTAGCTATAAAGGAGTCAAAACCTCATATTTTCAATTTTCAGGTTTTGTATTTTTCTCTTAGTATTCAAAACCCAGTAGCTTTGGAATAGCTCTTATACGCTTCTTTTCAAATATTTTTTCAATATTTTGAGCAGTCAGTGTCTAAGCAACTGATGATGAGTGATCAAAAAAAATGGCAAAATTTTAAGCAGGTGGTGAAAACATTCTCTGTGTTCCAGAGTGGTACTAATGCTATTCATTCCAAAATGAAAGCTGTGTAAGAACTTTCTCACTGTTGCAAAAAGGAGCTGCCCACCAACATGTAAGCTAAATGCAGTTATAAGTAGCAACATCATAGTGGCTGAGAGGAGAAAGTACAACTGTTTTGGTATCCCAGGCAGAGATGCCAATTCTCCTCTCGGGAAATCCACTGCTTTTGAATAAAGGTTCAACAGAAACATCCTAAGAACAATAATTTAGGCAGAAGAATCAGTTTTGTGACTTAATCTGCAATCTTTCCCTCCACAAAGTCGTCTTGTGCATGTACATGTGTACATATCTCTTGGAGTGAGAACTATCTTTCTGAATTATAAAACTTGCAAGTAAGGTAAGAGTTTTATAATATGTGATGCCTTTTCCATCTGTAATTTATGAGAGCGTATTTCTTTTGTCATAAAATAAAAAGTCATTTGGGGAGCCTGAAGGGCAATGGCTTTGAAACTACAGGCTTAGCAGAGACCATTAATTTAAAGTGTTCAGGGTTTTATATTCCTCTTAAACTATAGAATCAGTATTTTGCACTTTAGTCTTCAATTTCATCAGACTTCCTGCAAATCCATATTAATGAAATATTCACAACAGTAACCAGTGAAGAGTGAGGAAAAGAAAAATGGCAATTTTAGAACACCTAATTGAAGTACCTAATTGACTTACAAAGAACCATATCCCCTCATTAATATCCTAAGACATAGAATCTTTTCTGACAATTCCTAAAAGCAGTTAGATAGCTGGTTTTACTCCTTGACAAGTGACAGCACAAAATTTTCTATTTTTTTTTAATGATGCAAAGAAACTATGTCTAAACTGTGATATCAATGTAAAAGGAATGGTAACCATTAGACAATTAAAGGTTTGGAAAGAAAATCAGAATGTCATTAACTTATTTCATATCTCAACTGCAGAATAGAAGTGAAGACTGAATAAAGACAACTGCTGCTTAATCCTGGATGTCTCTGCTAGATCTCTTGTGAAAACTGTGGTCATTTATTCTCTGAACCTAAGGTCACAATCTTTTTAAGCCCTATAGAAGGCTGCATGTTTGCTTCACTCTTTTTATTTAACTGGCTTCTCCTTCAAAGATATTTTAAAGAATATTTACCAAGGAGATTTTTTACTTAGTTTTGCTTTGCAGTTTAAAGTAGCAGAAAGAAGGAGGATCAGCCAAGTCAGTCCAGACCAACTGGTACCCCTGAAAATGCATTTTCCCTAATTCTTCTCCAGCACATGTTTTATTTACATCCAAAACACTCCTCTTATTTTAAACAACTTGCCTACTTAATTTCCTGTTTGTGATCATTGACTGTAAGTAAGTGAGGTTCATTTTCTTATCTGCATCATGTAGGTAATTAAAGGAAATTGAGAATGGGTAGTGAAGCTTTTATACAACTGAGAATGAAGCTGAATGGAGGGCACCGAGGTCAGCAGAGTCCATTATATTTTTATGTGAGAGGCCGGTATGTCTGCCCTGTTCTTGTTTGCTTAGTGTAGGCTGGACAGACTACTAACTGCAAATCTGTTTCTCTGATTTGCCCAGCTGTCCTTGAATAAAGACATCTTCCATTGCAAAACGTTAAATGACAGTGATTGACAACTTTGTGATGAACTCTGCTTGTAACCCCCTGCTACTGTTTTCAGGTTGCATAAGAAAAGACAGAATAAAGAAACATCCTTTGTAATCACCTCAAATAGGCCCTGCTGTTCACTCAATATTTTTTCATTTTAGTTTTCCTTTTCATTGCAAATCTCAATCTGTTCTGTAAAGGCTGTAGCTTCAACTATTCCACACAGCATATAATATATATTGTTTTAGTACATCATATCTGAACGCCGTTCTTGTTTCCATGGGTGAAGAAACAGATCAAGCCACATATCAGTCATTAATCTTCATTCTAAAGTCAAGAAACTTAATACAAGCTTCATAGTTAAACCACAAAGCACTTCTGTGCATTTTTCACTTTCCCTTCTTCTCCTCTTAAACCAGAGCTGTTGCAGGCCATGTACAATAGGTTTACAAGCACCTACACAGTTAAGCATAACTTGGTGTATACCAGGAGATAACCAGAATTTTAGCTACAGATTCTACAATTATGCATTTGGTAGTCATGTCACATCTCTCTCTCCTACATTTCTGTGATGGACTTTCCCAATAATGTCTCCTTTTGGGCATTAGAGACTGCTGCATTATTTCAAGGGTGCAGGAGTCATCTCAGACTTACATTTCAACCTGCATGTGACACAAGGTGCTCGTATAGGAGACAGTAACTTGCACTGCCAGTGAGAAATGTCACACACAGACCTGCATAATCTCAACAGTTACATTTTACAAGGCCAAAGGGCTATTCTGGTAATTGAATTCTGTTTCCTGCATAACAGCAGCCACAGAATCATCCTAAAGTCCTGTCTACAACATCATGCTCCAAATACACAGCTACCATCACCCTTTATTTGAGCTGTTAGAATAGCCCTAAAAGGAAACAACTCATACTATTTTAAAAGATATCTTTTGTGGTACTATCAGACATTTGAGGAGCCAGACCAAACTAAAATTTAAATAAGGTATCCAACAATGTGAGTACTGTGCTCCACAGGGTCCACAGGGTTAAACCCCCACCAGATTTTCTTTCTACCTAAAAAAGTGGAAATTTGGCTGAAAATACTGATTTATAATGAGAGCTGAGCTATAAACTTATACCACATTTAGATCTTCTAAAATATTTTAAATCTTGAGTAAGTACATCTGGCCACTTTGTCTACAGGAGAGGATACTTGTGGACAGAAATTCCATTTCTGTCTGAGGTCCACAAGCTACTAAAACAAACTTGAATATTTTAAGTGAAGCTCAGTCATGGGAACAGTAAAACTTATAAAGTTAATGAGTTCTAGACTTTAAAGAGCAGTTGATTAATTTGTAACAATGAGGGTCTAAACCAAACCAAAAATAGTTTCTCACATTCCAGAGTTGAACCAGCAGTCTTTTCTTTAGCAATGTTATTGAAACTGCCTTAGAATTGACTGTCTGTATGTTCCTTTCCTTTATATAGATACTGTGAACCCAACCATTCTTTAGGTTCTCACTATATTTTCAACTTTAATAAACTTGCAACATATTTTCCTCTCCTTCAAGTTTCTGATGTCAAAAGAATCAAGACAAAGGAATTCTTAGAACATTTTGGTATAAAATAAACAGTTTTTAAACTAAAGTATAAAAAATACTGCAGCAAACTAGTGCTAAAATTAAATACTAACATAAAAAAAGAGAAAAGACAAGGATCATTTTTAGCTAGTTCAGTAATTCCATTCTCTTTACCTGAAACTTGATTTAAATTAAATAAGCTTCTCTAATAGTCTAAGTATATGCTGAAGTACTGGAAAAATGATATTTGAATATCATTAATACTTGAATAGAATTAATAAGCTACAATAAATAAATAAATGTGGGTGATTTTTTATAACTGTTCTGCAATTAATACTAATAATGCATTATGAATTTTAGTTCTCTGCTACCAGAAGTAAAATGGCATGCCAATGTCCAACTTATTTTCCTAAGTGAAAACAGCACATTTTGATCTTTGGAAAACTGGATAGGTGAATATAAGCTCAAAAGTAATACTATAATTGGCTTTTGTCTTTTGATCCATTGCACAAAGTGATACAGTACTCTAGTGCAGCATCCAGACCTGCCACATTATGCCACACTGTACAGGAAGATGCTGGAATACAAAATTTGAATCAGCCTGTACTTGTCCTCATTTAGGTGATACCTACTTAACCCCTAACATAGGATAGAGAAAAGAAGCATGGGCAAAATAGACCAAGGATTGATCATTTGGAATAGCTAGGTAACATCTGACTTTTAAAGGATTCAAAAATTCTAAATTTTACTTTGAGGATACTTGAGCTTCTGTAAAAACCATTTGAAATTATTTCCAATTTTATATATATACACATATGTATCTCCACTCATGTGCTGACAGAAATCTCATTTGATCCTGTTACCTACATCATAAGGAAAACTTAAGAAATTGGTTAACTAAAGCTCTCAAGCTAATCTTCCTTTGCCCATGATTTTCCCAAGAGAAAAAGACCATATTATGTGACAAAGGAGTGGCACAAGTGTATACTGTGAACATTATTTAAATTAACCAACATATCTACAGTATATTTTATTGTCACATTTTTGAGTGTGAGTTTCATTTATAAGAAAAAACATTACATTTACACAGATGTATCCTGACTGGCAGCTAGAAGATAATCAAGCTTACATTTATATTCAGAAAACTAATAAAAGTAAGGAAATGTGCTTTTAAAAAGAGGGAAAAAATCTAAAAAACCAAAATGAAACCTAACTTATAAGTGGTTTTTCAGCT